TTTCCTTTTTTTTTTCTTTTCAAATTCTTCAGCTTTCTTTATATATATTTTTTATTTTTATTTTATTTAAAAAAAAAAACAGAACTAGAATCTTGAGTTGCCAGATCTGGTTAGGCGGCGCTCCATTAGGGGATTGGTGATCACAAAACTGCCATGGTGGTTGCATGGGTGGTACAACCACCACTTCGGCGGGATTGGCATAATTTGGATCTCTTCATTCTTCTATTTCTTCCCAATTTGTTTTACCATCTAATTTTATTTGTGATGCTTTGAATTGATCTTGCATTTTCTCAATTCTGCTTGATGTTTGAGTGGTTCTGTCGCCATTTCTTAATTTTTATTTTGATTTCTATTTAACCGGTGAGATTGTTTTAATATTTGGGTAAACATAATTGGGTCTGCTTTGAATGATTTTGTGTATTAATAGAGGAAGGAAGAGAAATAGCATTTGCTAGATATCCACATTCAAACATTGTTAGGCTGCTTTAACAGAATGAGTATTTTGCTTCCAAGCCTTTACATTTTGTTGTGATGATGATTTGGAATTTGAACATGTGTTCATTTGTCTATGATGATTGCTCTTGGTATTAATTAACCGTGATTGTTCTTGGTATGCAAATTTTGTTAAATCCTTGCTTCGTGTATTCAAAGCTTGGAAAGCGTTTGGATTTTATCTTTTGGGATATGATTTCTTTCTGTTTGATTTCACTTATGTGAGAAAAAGTTTTGGTTGGTTCATGAATTTTAGTTCACCTGTAGGTTTTCATTGAACCTTGGACACAATCAAAATGAGATGTTTTTCTATGATTTTGTCTTTGTGTAGAATATATGATTATGGAAGTGGAGTGGGTTAAAGTTTTGTTGCTTAATTTTTGTTTGGATACTGATAAAGTGAGAAAATTGAGTAGGATTGAAGGTGGTTCGTCGTCCACCCCCACCAACCTCTAGCCCATCGCCGGTGCAATAGTTTCTCCGATGATGGGTTTATAGTTTTCATTTTTCTCTTATATATTTTAATATTAAATATTTATTCATGTGGGAAAACGAAAAAACAATGCCAGTTGGTTTTTTTGGTCCAAGTCAGCGTCGTATCATTGCCTAGTCATCCTTTGTTAATCGGGCAACGGAGAGATTGTGAGAAAGATGGTGTTTCCTGACGATCATAGTTAACAGAATGGGTGATTTGCCGCTGCTCTTAAGTAGAGGGGCTGAATTGCGCCTTCTGCCCATCATGATAAGGTAGAAGTCGTCCCATACCGTACTTTTATTTTCTCTAATACGAGTACATAATAATTATTCATTTCATCGTTTCTCTGTGCACTGTAATATTAATCAGGTAGGGAAATAGCATTGCAATTTCTACGAAATGACATTTATAAATACCACATTGCCTCTCTTGGATTTCCATAGAAATTAATTGCTTTCCGATTCAAAATTCAATGGCTCGATTTATCTCTCGTTTCCTTGCCTTTCTCATTCTGATCACTAATGTTACCGTTATTAGCATTTGCAATGGCAACTCAGTTCATGCGATCTGCATTGAGAGCGAGAAAGAAGCCCTTTTGAAGTTCAAGCAAGGTATCGTGGATCTCACCAACCGATTGACCTCTTGGGTTTCTGATGGAGATTGTTGTAGATGGACGGGAATTGTCTGCAACAACATGACTGGTCACGTCATTGAACTCCACCTCAGAGTCAGAACTACTCCACGGGAGCACGATTATGGCGATTACTATGTGGACGATTATGTGGCTGATGAGGCTTATGAGAGATCGAGGTTGGGTGGTAAGATAAGTCCTTCTCTGCTCCATTTGAAGCATTTGAGTTATTTGGATCTCAGCAAAAATAATTTTGGAGGAATTCACATTCCTAAGTTTTTTGGTTCTTTGGGGAGTTTAAGATACCTGAACCTCTCCCGTGCAAATTTTGGAGGGGAGGTTCCTCACCATCTTGGGAATCTCTCTAATTTGAAATATCTCAATCTTGGGAATAATGCCATGTATGTTGAGAATGCCATGTATGTTGAGAATCTCCACTGGTTGTCTCGTCTTTCTTCATTGGAGTACCTTGATTTGAGTTATGTGAACCTCAGCCAAGCCTCATATTGGTTTCATGACTTAAATTCACTTCCTTCTTTGGTAGAATTACACTTGTCATACTGTCAATTTCCCTACCAACTTTATCCCATTGCAAGTGTAAATTTATCATCACTTGCTACCCTTTCTCTTTCTAAGAATTCCTTCCAAAACTTGTCATTGATCAATTGGGTTTTTTGTCTCAAGAACCTGATTTCTCTTGATCTACGGGATAATTATATTGAGGGTCCAATCCCTTATGGGCTTCAAAATTTGACTTTGTTGAAACACCTTGATTTGGCAAACAATTATTTCAATTCTTCAATACCTGATTGGTTGTACACTTTTGCTCCTCTTGAGTCTCTAAATCTTCAGTATAATCACTTGAGAGGTCAAATTTTAAGTGAGATAGACAAAATGAACTTTATTGTTGACCTTGATCTATCCTATAATAGTTTTGAAGGTCAAATCCCAATTAGATCAATAGGAAATCTTTGCAACTTGAGGTCACTCTCTTTCTCTAGTGTTAATTTGAGTCTAGACATATCAAATGTTTTAGAAATACTTTTTGGGTGTGTTTCTAATAAATTAGAGTCATTGTTCTTGGATGACTGTCGACTCTATGGACAATTAACCAACCAACTAGGAAACTTTAAAAATTTGAGAGAGTTGTATTTGTCTGGAAACTTTATCTCTGGTTCAATACCAGAATCCATAAGAGAGCTTTCATCCTTACAAAGTTTATCTCTCTCTCAAAACAAATTGAAAGGAAATCTTCCTGAGTCATTTGGTCAACTTTCCAATTTAAAATATTTTGATATGTCAAATAATTTTTTGGAGGGTACTATTTCTGAGAAACACCTTTTTAATCTCACAAAATTGATAGTTTTGATTGCAAATGAGAACCCATTGGTTTTGAAGGTTGATCATGGTTGGATTCCTCCTTTTCAAATTCAAGACTTGGAATTGAGATCTTGGCATTTAGGGCCACAATTTCCACATTTGCTTTCTTCTCAGACACACCTAAATGTTTTAGACATCTCAAACTCTGGAATATCATGTTCTATCCCTAGTTGGTTTTTGGACTTGTCTCATCATTTAAGTTATTTGAATCTCTCTCGAAATCAAATTCATGGGCAACTTCCAAGTATTTATAGCTTCAATGATCCAATATCTCAAATCTTCTCCTATTTGATTATCTTAGACTTTTCCAATAATCTTCTATTAGGTTCCCTTTTCAACTTTTTGTGTCTTGGGGTCAATGAAACCACAAATCAAATGTCTGTTCTCGATCTTGGCAACAATTTGTTGTCTGGGGAGTTACCAGATTGTTGGTCCAAAAGGCCACATTTAGAGGTCATTGCATTAGAAAACAATAGATTCACAGGTAAAATTCCAAGCTCTATAGGAACTTTACAATTCCTTATATCATTGCATCTTCATAAAAATAACCTTTCAGGAGAAATTCCTATGTCCATAAGGAATTGTACAATTTTGCAAACCCTTGATTTTGGTGAAAATGAATTGGTTGGGAACATCCCATCATGGATTGGTTGTAATCTTCCATACCTGACAATCTTGAGCCTCCGTTCAAACAAGCTTTCAGGACATATTCCTAGCGAGTTGTGCGCACTCAATTATCTCCATGTCTTGGACGTTGCTCATAATAAGCTTTTAGGAAGCTTACCAAGTTGCATTGATAACTTAAGTGCCATGGTTTATCCTGTAAATGGCTCATTTCAGAACAACATTATGTATGGCTATTTTATTGAGAATTTATTTCTTGTGATGAAAGGCCAGTTTTATGAATATGGCAAGACTCTTAATTTGGTAAGAGTCCTTGATTTGTCAGACAATAGTTTATCTGGAGATATTCCTTGGGAAATAACTAGGCTTCAGGGGTTGCAATCACTGAATTTGTCACACAACCATTTCACTAGAAGCATCCCTGCAAATATTGGTGACATGAGTTTACTAGAATCTCTTGATCTTTCTGTAAACAAATTGCTTGGGTCAATCCCTGAAAGCATGTCCAAATTGTCATTTCTAAGCTACTTGAACCTTTCTAGCAACCAATTGATTGGAAAAATTCCTTTAGGTACTCAATTACAGAGCTTTGATGCATCTTGTTATGCTGGAAATGAACTTTGTGGCCTTCCACTAGTGGAGAACTGCAACGAAGTCAATCAAAGAGTACATGGCACTGAAAATAATGTGGGGAAAGATAGGGATGGAGATAAAGTGAATTGGTTGTTTGTTAGCATGGCACTTGGATTTATTTTTGGATTTTGGAGTTTGATGAGTCCTCTTGTAATTAGTAGGCAATGGAGGTATGCGTACTATCAATATTTGGATGAGATGTGGCGGAAATGTCAGTCATTATGGGAGTAGATTTTTCTAAAATCTTATGTAGTTTTCTTTACAAGTGTATTTCTCTTCATGTTCTTGTGATATATTACAAAGCATCACCTCTCCGCTTTTCAGCAACTTTGTTTTGATTTTTCGTTATCTATAATGAAGTCATAAAATAGTTACATAGATAAGAAAAAAATTAGTAAACACCTTTTTCGAGTTCGTTAGCTTAAAATTCAATACATACGTCAATAAGAACATTATATTAATGTGATTTAAAAAATTTAATGAAAATTAAAAGAAAATTAAAAAATATGTCCTTTTTTGTCTGAAAAACTTATTTAAATTGTGATACACTTAGGTGGAACCTAGAGCATATTGAAATTTTAAACAAGAAAAAAAAAAGGTAAGGAAGAAAACTGAGGATGGTGTGGTAATACTTATCTAGTACATATATAAAGAGAGGCATAAGGTATGGTAATATAGGCCCAGAAAATACCACTTAAAGGCTCCGTAATTGAACAGAGGCAAACAGACTTTTCATTTTGTGGTTTAAAGTTTAAATGGAAAGAAGATCCTTGAAATTAGCTGGCAGCTGCAATAGCAAAACTGAACAAAAATCCTATAAGCAGTGGTAATCTGAATAATCACATACTTTAGCCAATTCGGATGTTTCATCAGTATCTCCTTTATATGTTAATTAGTAACATTTCCAATCTCCATAAGGGCACTACTACCTCTATATCCATATGATCTTACAGGGTATTGAAGTCATTGTTTACACCCTCCAAAGCTTGCAGCACCAACACAAGAATTGAATGAAGTATTCTTAACATGGGTTACTCACTTTAGAAACATGAGAAAGAAATACAATCACAAATCATGCATGCTGCTCTGAGTAACGGAAAAAACGTGAAGGAAAAAAAAAAAAAAGGACAAGCCCAAGTAAGTGCATGAGACAAAACCAGGCGTTCGAAAAGAAAGATGGCAATTTTACTCAATCTCTTACACAAGAAATTCTTCAAACTTATAGGCAGTCTACAAGAAACTCTTCAAACATATAGGCGGTCTCTAATAATTTATATATAGTCAATGGTTTTCATGAAATAAATGACTCATCTCTTTTGTCCTTTTTTTTTTTTCCCTGGACGATCTTTCCATGAAAGGCATAACTTTGTGGATTTCCTCGATGTCTAAGCAGCTACTCCTCTGAAAAGAATTAGAGGCTCATTTGAGTAAAATTTCATTCCCCCCGAATCTGGATTGTAGATCAAAATGAAGCCTTTTGCTAGTATATTGGCAATTCGGCAGCTAGCCCAACAAGGAGCGGCCTAGGGTAGCTTAATATGGTTAATGCAAAATGGGCTTGATTAGCCGTTAAGCCCAGTCATATTGTTTGCCTTTCCAGCCTTACCCATCCATTATGTACCCTTCCCCAACATAGGTCCGCCACCGCACGTATGGTATGTGCCTCAAGTTGCCTGTTATCATTTGAGAAAAAAGTTAGATTGGCCAGAAAAATGTTAGCTTAGTGGAAAAATTTTGAGAACAAAGTTAGTTCCAAATATAAGTAAATTGTACAATATAAATTATAAGGTTGCTTTCATGTTAGGTTAACAAAATTGAATTCGATGTACTTTTTAAGGGGTTTTGTACCTAACATTCCTCTGAACAAACAAATTCATCATACACATGTAAAGACAGAACATATTACAAAGGAAGACTCTAAAGTCCCCACCAACTTAATTTGTTAACACATTATTCGTATTATTTTCAAATGGTTAAAGGCCAAGTTTGGTCCCTTAATTTTAGAATTTTGTACAGTTTTAGTCCCTCAACTATGAAAAATGTATTTTTTAGATTTTTTATTAGTTAATTCATTAAATTTGTCTATATATTTATAGTTTTAATTCCTTAACTTTAGGATTTTGTTCAATTTTTGTCTATTAACTTAAAAGTTTAGAAATTAAAAATGCATATATGGATATACTTAATGGATTAATTGACAAAATGGTTAAACTTATACATTTTTTATAGTTGATAAACCAAAAAATACATAAAAAAATTAAAGAACTGAAACTGTACAAAACTCTAAAGTTGAGTAACCTTTTCAAATTCAGAGTCATAAAACCTCTGTTTCAATTCAAAATGTATTTTGAGTAATAATCTCCACTAAACTTAAAAATTGCTTGGTTTTAGCAAGATTAGCACTTAATTAAGCAATCAAGGAAAAGCTTTCCATCAACATACCCAGACCATGGAGCAGTTCACCTAGAGAAGCAATGGAAGCTGCAGGAAATTAATCTATACTTCAGTTGGTTTGTGCTGTGTCAATGGTGAGGCCAGGTTGTATTAATTGGGTTTTGATGTCTGATCATTGCTGAATTGAGTACCCTTGCATTCACTTCTGAATAAAAATTTTATTTGATTGTTTGATAGATTAAAAAAATACCCAGATCATGACATGAATAAAGATATCATTGATGATCTTTTCTCATCTTTACTGTCTTTTTTTTCCTCTTTTTTTTTTTTTTTTTTTAAGGTTACTTTCCAATTCGTAAGCACAGATTATATGTCAGTATATCAAAACAAGGTGATATTCTTATCATTTTTTTTTATCATCAATATTCATATCAATTGATATTGTGTAATTTTTTTTACTTGAATAATCAAAATATTTTTAAAACAGTTTGTGTATACTTTAAAATTAATATGTTCTCATAATTAACAATATACCTATTAATAATTAAACTCTTAAAGTTATTTTGTATAATTATGCCTAAGCATGCATGTCGCACTAGTACCTTAAAAAAAAAAAATACAACTATAAATCCAATGATAGATCTACCTACAATTAATATTACCTTCTTTTTAATTTATTTGACATTAAAATTAATATTAATTTTTACATTTTTTATATATTTATAATAAAAAAATATTTAATACACTTTTAATCTGTGTACTTAAAAAATCCTTTTAATTATTGCCCAATTCTTTGTTACCATGTCCACCAATTTCATGTCTTATTTATTGCAAGGCATGCCTAGTGGAAACACAAATTCTTGACACCCTCATGACTTCTTCACTTCTTTTAATAATAATGCAATCCCTTTAAGTAATCTTAATTTCCAACTCTGCCTACTTCCTCTTAAATTTTGTATACCTCAATCATCAAGCTATTGACTTTTTGTGCCGACTACTACTAATTTGGTATTGTCACGGGCAATTTTTTAGACCCTCATTTCCATCGGGCCATCAAATTTTGCTAAACTCAAACTCAAATATCAATAATTATATGAAGAAAATCTATAAAGCAATTTACTAATTGACTAAATTATTGAAAAAAAAAAAATTTTTCACTCGTATAACTAAATTTT